ACGTCTTTTTGAAATCCAGGCCAGTATTATCTCTGACGTATCTTAGCTATCGTTTTGTTCACCCCCAAGTGTCCCGACGTCTGATTATCATGACACATTTCCAAGACGCGTCTGCGCTCTTGGTCAGGTATGATAGCTTGATGAACTTCTTTGTTGGGACGAAGCAGAGTCCACTTGCGCATTAGCAATCCATTCTCTATAGTAAGTCTAGAAAACTGATTCCACAAAGACTTCACTACGTAGCCATGCATAGACATATCGCTAAAACTTGGTCGCTCACCTTTCTCAACCCATGTTTTTACAAGCTTAATGTCTCTACACTGCTCCTGAGCCTCTTGCAGACTGTAATCCATGTCGTCACATTTTATATCCGATGACTGTAAAGTTCGTACAGCTGGTTCAACTTTCATTTCATACTCAGCATTTTCCAATGATGAAGAATCAAACCCACACTGAGCGCAAGGTATTCTGCTCAGTGCATCCGCATTACCATGCTTTTTACCTGGTCTGTGTTCTATTTTCATATCATAGGTGCTGATTACTTCCAGCCACCTAGCCAACTGACCCTCTGGGTTTTTAAACCTTAATAGCCACCTCGATGACCCGTGGTCCTTCCTAATAAGAAATTGTTTACCATAGAGATAGTGGCGGTAATGCTTAATAAAATGGACAACGGCCAAAAGTTCTTTCCGTGTCACACAATACCTTCTTTCTGACTTGGACAATGTACGGCTAGCATATGCTATAACACGTTCCTTGCCATCAATATTTTGAGATAATACCGCACCGATCGCTTCGTTGCTAGCGTCGGTATCCAGAATGAATGGCTTCGTTACATCTGGTAGAGCTAATACTGGCGCAGTTATCAGTTTGTTGCGCAGCACTTCGAATGCTTCTTGTGCTTCTTTACTCCAGAGAAACTTCCTTCCTTTTTCTGTGAGTCGATGCAATGGTTTGGAAACTGATGCAAAATTCTTTATAAAGCGCCGGTAATAACTGCAAAGACCTAGAAAAGATCTTAATTCAGTCACAGTACTTGGAATTGGCCACTCAGCTACCGCTTTCACTTTCTCTGGGTCGGTGGCAATTCCGTCTGTGGAAATGATGTGTCCCAGATAGGATACCTTGGTAGCAAATAGATTGCATTTCTTGGCCTTTAACTTTAGACCGGCCTGATGCAATCGCTCAAAAACATGTTGCAGGTTTTCAAGCATATCATCAAATGATTTGCCAACAACAATAATGTCATCAAGGTATACTAAACACTTATCCCATTGGAGTCCTGCAAGAACGGTTTCCATAAGTCTCGCAGGTGCACAGCATAAGCCAAAGGGCATTACCTTGAATTGGAATAACCCTTGTCGTGTTACAAATGCAGCTTTCGGCTTGTCGCTTTCCTCCATACTAACCTGCCAGTAACCACTGTTAAGATCGAGCGTAGAAAACATCTCATGTCCTGACATATGGTCAAAAGCCTCATCAATTTTTGGAAGAGGATAAGCGTCCTTTGTGGTCATCTCATTTAATCGACGGTAGTCTACACAAAAGCGCATTGTGCCGTCTTTCTTGCGTACAAGAACTACTGGCGATGCCCAGGGACTGTTTGAAGGTTCTATTACATCCTTCTCGAGCATTTCCTTTACCTGTGCATCTACCTCATGAGTTAGATGAATCGGAATTTGCCTAGGACCTTGCTTGATAGGTTGTTTAGCCTGCTCCGTGTTTATCTTATGGCGCACCACATTGGTCTGTCCTAAGTCATAATTAGAAGTTGCGAACAAAAACTGATTTTTACGTAGAAAGTTCTCAACTTTTGTCACTTGCTCGGGTAATAGGTAACCTTTACATCTGTCTACCAAATCTTTCAGATCACCTCTCAGCTCTTTGGTTAAACCCTGAGGATAAGATGGCGAGTTTGGTCTCTCCTCAACTGCTGTCATTTTTCCAATCAGAGTTCCTCGAAAAATTTGTTTTACATCATCCGTGACATTCATTAAGCAAACTGGTATTTTTTCGCTACCTTTAACGAGAGTGCGTCCTACTAGCGCACGCCCTGTCTCAATAAATTTTCGTTCAGGTTCCACTAAGTAATCCGCTCCTCCATAGATATTATTTCCCGTAACATTGGCAGAAATAATTATTTCACTCCTCGGTGGTATGCTAATGTCACTTGCTGCAGTGACTCTGTAACAACCTAGTGTACCTTCCCAGGAAAATTGGCATGTCTCATTATTTAATCGCAGCGAACTCTCTTGAAGATCTATCAGCCCATTGTATTTCTTGAGAAAATCAAGTCCAATAATTCCGTCCACAGAAATATCTGCAACAACTGCATCAATAGTTCTATCTGTCTCACCAATCGTGAGAGAAAAATGTTGCTTTACCATAGTGGGACAGAACAGAACCTTCGCTGTGCGTTCTCCTTAAGCTCAGGTCTTTCCTCCTGCAATGTATCAAACAATCTCTTTGAAATAAGAGTAAGGGATGCTCCAGTGTCAATCAAGAGTTTTGCACTGTTCCCATTCACATTTCCCTGAATGAAGATACCTGCTTCCTCGCACAAATTGTTTGCGGCAACATTGCCATTGTTTTTAGATTTCCTCTTTCTTTTACGTCTACTGCGAACTTGACATGCGCTTCCGCCATCTGTCTTTGATTCATGTCGCCGCCTATCCTTTTCTTTGTCTTGAGCTTTGTTCTTCAACTTTGGGCAATTCTTCCGAATGTGTCCTTCCTCTGAGCAGTAGTAACATTGTACCCTGTTACGCTTGCCTTCCCTCTGGAAAGAATCTCTGCTGAATCTTGCATTTATCTTAATCTGCCTCTCCAGATTATCTATTTTATTCTGCATTTTCTGCATCAGCGCTTTTAAATCTCCAGACTCGGAAGCTTGAGCTGGTGCTTGTCCCTGACTTTCAATAGCGCGCATATGACTTCTTCTCTCGGTCTTATAGTAGGCATCAAGTTCTACTGCCAGGCGAATTGCTTCATTTAGATTCTGTGGTCGACTCATTTTAATGCGTAGTCTCATATCAGAATCTATCAATCCATCAATAAAAGCCTCTTTACCAAGAGTTTCTCTTACTTCTGCCGGTGCAGATGGATATGCCAAATACGTCAATCGGCGCACTGCTTGGCCTAGCTCAGATAATGTTTCTGATGCTCGTTGACGCCTTTCTTTGAGTTGCGCACGGTACAACTCCGTTTGATTAGGTGGAGCAAATCCCTCTTCAAGCGCTTTCACTAAGAGGTCATATTGTTGTCCCGTTTCTGGCGAAACATTTCCTAATATTCCTTGTGCTGCTCCTCGCAGTGACACTGCTAAATACAACCCATTTTCCTTTGAATTCCAATTGTTGATAGCCGCACACGCATCAAAATGGGATTAATAATCTAGCCAAGAATGAGTTCCATCAAAGGTTGCCGGCTTAATGTTACACTGGCTGTAGCTTTCTCACTTTGGTCCTTCTTCTCTTTATCAGCAACGTTGACTATCTGGGGAAATGAGCTTGGTTTACCTCATTACCGGAATTTCCACATCGACTCGGCGCATTCGCAGGTATTTGATGAAGTGCATCCGCAGGTGTTTGATGCAGCGCATCTGCTGATATCTGCTGCAGCGCATCCGCGGATGCACGATTCATTGGAATCGGTGGCTGTGCATTATGTTCTAAAGCAGTTTCTGAAAACCGCGCATTTAATGAAGATCTTGGAGTCTCAAACTTGTTTTGTACCTGACCCTCATGAAATACTTCTGCATCTTTCGTTTGCGCAGGAGGCCTATTTTGATACTGTCCTTGCGATGGCGTTTCCGATTGAATGTGAAAAGGAGAATGCGCCAGAGTCTCACTCAGAATATGGACTGGGTGCGGATGCGCATTTGATAAAATGCTCGGCGTTTTCCAACTTGGCTGTGGCACCATCGTTTCATATGGCTGCGGACTCGCAGCATAATCCCTTGTCGAATTTGATGCATTTGGTTCAGATGTTAAATTTCGTTGAGCTGTTTTTCTCCTCATTGTCACACCATCTAGCGCTCCTCCAGACTGATTTCCTTGTGTGCGATCACCAGTCAATGACGCAATTCAAGAATCGCGCATTGGTCTACTTGATTCAGCGAGTGTAGATTGCTGTTTTATTTCAAGACGCAATCTCTCACAACTCCTTTCAAGAAAGGATATCTCTTCGTTGATCATTTCCTCCATCGCACTCATGATTTACAAGGCAAATATAACACAATTAAAAATTATCAATTAAAAATTTATATTACTTCTTATTTAATAATAACTTCTTAATTATTTGCCGAATCCCACCGCGCTGCCACCAAATTTATGTAACGTTTTCGGGTTCTTTTGTGGGATTCGGCTGTTCTATCTGAACAATTAAAGAATTAATCAATTTTCTCAATCACAAATTTAAATTAGAAATATGTACAATATACCCTTCGTTTCTCGGGAGCGCGCGCCTTTCAAGGACTGAAGCGCATCGATCCGCTTCTTAAATTAAGTCAAACCAGTGTATGAAGGTACTATACATAAATATACATTACCAACCAAAGTCTCGAAAGTCTATTTCAGACACGTAAGACTTAATAAGGTATCCCTTTACCTACCACGTTTGACTCTTCTGTAGACGTGTCTTCTACACCGCCGTCAGTGACAGACTACTTCAGGTCACATGACCTGCGGAGAATCGAAGGGAACAAAGAAACCGGAAGTCAGTGCAACTACAGAGAAACGAAGGGATAATTTGATCTTGATTCATCTCTGCTTCAGTACCATAATTAATGTTATCGGGAAAGGGAAAACTGGGGGGATATATATTGCCTGGTATTGATATTATTTCAACATTCGCTTTGGGCTTTAATAGAAGACGTGGAATAAAGATTTTACCACCAGCTTCTCTGTAAAAGAAAACGTTTGAAATGAATATAAAGATACATTTTTTCTCTACTTATTATTTGGAGCTTAACGTTTTGATTTTTTTTTTATTTTTAACAGCCTCTACAGAAATCAGTAAAACTACACTGGACGACAAAACTTACATTAGTCTGACGTCCAACTGTTTGGTAGCCTTGGGGAGGACATATCTGAAATTCAGAGCAAGAGCAAACAATGACATACACATTGCTATCGGTACCGACGATTGTGACAACTGTGGTACACACTATGAAATCCTCTATGGGGGATGGGATAATACCATATCTGTCATCAGGTATGGTATAGGTGGTACAGAATGTGACTCACACACCCAGAATATTCTGGACCAAACCTTCTTCGATGAGTTTTGGATTTCATGGTCCTTAGATATCCGTGCGGGCACCGGAAGTACGGTCGGCAGTAATGTCGTCATGAGTTGTACTCGTTCCACTCCTTTCGGTGCCAAATATATTTTGATCAAGACCGGATGGGGCTCAGGTGGCGAATGGAGATTCCCAAACGGTTTGTACAATGATAATATACTGCTACAAAGATTTTTTTCTTCTTGAATTAAAAAGTAGGTGTGAACGTATATATATATACATTGTGCACTGATATCAAATTCTCTTTCCATGCTTTCAGATGTTTCTTGTATACAGGGGAAAAACAGCAATGTTGACATCACTGCTGACAAGACTGGCTGCTATGAAGTCAGCACATACGCATGTGCGTCCGGGTACAAACAAACTGCAGGAAGCACGCAACGTACCTGTGGATTTGGGCAGATATGGTCAGGATACCCCTTGGTCTGTTCAGGTAAAAGTCAGACCAATGGCTTTAGATCCCTCCTCAACGTGATTTTTTTAAAAAAATGTTTAAAATCACAGGTCTGAAGAATATTTTTTTGTTTTTTTTTTTAGTTTCAACTTGCACAATCGACATTTTATTCATCATAGAGGCTTCCTCACACACCTCCTCCATTTACTCAGCATTAGTATCGGCTATTGGTGATTTGGCGGGAGCGCTGAAAATTTCAACGAGTGATATACAAGTTGGGGTTATAACCTATGACGACACAGTGGACCAGAATATCAAGTTTAACGCCCATTCTTCCGCATCATCGCTGGACAGTGCTATTAAGTCATTAACAATAACAAGTGCTTCTTCCTCTGTGGACCTGGCCGAAGCTTTACGTGTCGGATTTTACGAGTTCTTTACATTGTCAAATGGAAACAGATTTGATGCTTACAGACATTGTGTTCTTGTTGCTAAAACACATTCTCAGAACGGTTCAGTTGTGGCAAATGCTATTCGACAAAACCCCAGGAATCAGGTTTTTACAATCGGTAAGAAATTTTAGCATGTGATATGATTGTAAGATATTCGGAAATTATTCTAATGCTATTACGGATAAATATTTAGTAATTAAAAATAATGAATATTTTAGACTCGGAATTCTACCAAATATGAGGACGTGGTCTTATATTTTGTGTAAATGTATAGGTCTTGTTTTTTTCCCTTTAGGTGTTATCTCCCGTATTGGCCTATTGTTTTCAAAGTCACTTAGTCATTATTTGGGCAAATTGATTCTTGAATATATCAGAATCTTTAGAAAAATCTTTGAATTTTGAGTAAAGTATTTGTACTTATACCTGTTCTTTTTCCCACAATGGCACTTGTAAATATTTTTTAGCAAAGAAAAAACGGTCAACTTTCCAAAACAAATTTCCAAAGGTTTTAGTCATTTACTTTTAATAATATTTCATGACAGCTAGAGTACATTGTTTTACTGCATATTTCTTCCATGCACTTCCTCTATAATCTAGTTGTAGACAAGTATAGAGTTCATATTTTTTTCAAATAGAAATATATTTTTCATTAAATGCCATTATAAGAATCCAAGTTATGTCTTAAAAAGTAACGAACAAATTTCTCATCCATGAGGAATAACTCAATTCGAAACCCTTTAAAGTCATAAAATAATAATCGTCCATGTCTTAGACAGCATATTTCTGATATTTTAGAATATTCCCACTGCAATTGTAGGCATTGACCCTTCCTCATCTTTGATCACCGACCTTAAGGCGATTGCTGGAGATGACAGTAGGTACTGGCAAGTGAGCTCCCCGGCAGATCTATATCCTAAATTCAATGATATTCTACAGAAAATCGCTGTTTGTCCAACAACACCTCTCCCTGATCCCGTGACAGTAGGTATGTAACCTGGAGTCTCTGATGAGGCTGTAGCTTTACTGGCTTGTATTTATCACAAAAAAGCACTTGGCCTTTAAACTCTGCAACAGCAATAAACGAACTATGACCCTTGGTTTCGTTTATTTTGTGTGGCAAAATTAATCGCAGTTAGAATGAATTGTAGGAGGAGCAGCATTTTTAAGAAATTAAGTTTTTCTTTAGTAAGCATGGGAATATCATTCGAAGCCAAAATCTTTCTACAGAATTATGTACCTTAGTCTAGTCTACTTGTGTGTAAGTAATATGGAATTCAGACCAAAAACTGTAGAAGTAGCGTTTTGAATGTATTTCAAAGAAATTTCTAGTTTCTATAACCATCGCAACACCGTTCATCGGTATTAAAAACCGATAAACAGAATAACATGTATAAATCTTAATGTAGTTTACTGCAAGTATGGCAGGTTTTGAAATCGGACCAAAGAATGGAGTAGACTAGTATCGCTTTGAATATATTTTACAATTACAGATATTGCTATGTTTAGTAACCATGACAACACCGTTCTGCGTAATCAAAAACCGAATAAATAAATAAAAATAAAAAAAATATGAATCTTAGTATGGTCTACTTGTGTGCCAAGTAAAATTGAGATCCAAACTGAAGGAGGAGTAGCGTTTTGAGAATTTCTTTATAGACTGACGGACATCTAAAAAGATGAACGGACGACGGACACCTTTCTACATAAATTCTTCTGGTCTCTTACCCATAAGAGCTAAAAATATCAAATTTCAAAATAGTAAACTGTTTGACTGGGATAATCAAATAAACTCTTTGAAAGATATCTTGTAAAAACAATGTCTGGAAATGATCGTTTTTATACTTTACATGTACATATCTGATATAATCATTTACATTGGCAATTGGAACCAGATTTTCGCCCGCGTGGCGCAGTGGTAAGACAATTTGCCCTTGAGTTACGGAGTTGAGCCACAAGTGGCGAGTTCCAATCTCACTGCGAGACAGGGAGACCGGCCCTTCGGGTAAGACCACGTAAACCGAGGTCGTGTCGCAACATATACGAAAATCAAAGGTTACGAGTACTGATGTGAAGTCTAAATTTGCAGCCCTCCACCTGCAACCTGTGGCGTCTCAATATGAGTGAAAAATTCTAAAAATGGACTTTAAAAACCACACCATTGCATAGTTGCAACTTGTATATAAATCTAAGAAATTACATTTGGTTTTCAGAAATAAAAGAAGAAAGTATTGAGGAAATTGCTCTAATAATGTTGTTTTTCTCTATATTATTTGAAGATTAAGTTAATTTTTTTTATTTTATGAAACACAATGTACAATGTGCAAAATTCCAAAGGTCAAAGATGCATTTATAACTTCAATGCACCAATTCCATTTTCAGACTGCAAACTGGACATTGCGTTTATAATTGAACGCTATAACATGCGTTTTTCAAAAACATTTTTGGCTGGATTAATGGAGGATATTCCAATATCTTCTGATGGGGTAAGAGTTGGCTTTGTCACATATGATTCCGTGGCATCAAAAGAGTTTGGGCTTACGACTTACACAACCTCAGAATCTGCAAGGGGAGCAATCGAAAATGTGCCTGACAGAACTGGCTCTGATCACTTTGTATACCAAGGATTAATTACAGCTCGGGACAACGTGTTTACGGCCCTTGATGATCGAGAGGATGCCAATAACCATTACGTATTTGTTGTGGGACCATTTTACAGTGAAACAGCTGCTGTTTCGCGCGAAATCAGGGGCAGTGGAAACAATTTTGTCTTTGCAGCTCGTAAGTTTCTTTAAATTATAAAGCATACGTTTTACATTGTACCTTATTTTTCCTTAATTGATGTACATGTAATAAATGTGATTCTTTAAATATCAAGTAATTCTTAAAAAAAACTATTTTTGCAGATGTTGGTTCTTCTTTTCAATCTGAATACCAGGAATCTGTTGACTCTTGTGGTGACTACACAAGATACACCAATACCGATTCATATGATAACATGATGAACATCAGGCAACAGTTTATAGACAAGATAACTTCATGTGAAGCAATAGTTGAAATTACTCAAGGTATTTATGTTTTAGTTTGGTTTAAAATGCAAATAAAAACTGATCAAGTTTTTTGATGGCATGAATAAATATCTAAGCCGTCTGTATGAGAGCAATTTTTGACCAAACATGTTTTCTAGATGTTTTAATAATGGTACATGTAAATATCTTAATTTGGCTAAGAAAAAAAAATAATTACTCTTAGTCAAAATTTGTTGATCTCGTGAATACCGTAAAGAAAAAGTGAAAACCGCTAGGAATAATGGTACATGTATACAGACTATTCTTCGTCAGACCTAATAAGACCCCGAGCACAAGGAATTTCAAAGCAACCTACAACAGCACTCATATTTAAAATAATTTTACCGTAAGCCCGATAATGGGAAGGAGCATACAGCAGGTGTACCCGGTAGACAGAGGATACGTACTCCACAATGTATCTTGGTTCACCGTTCTAACTATATATATGATTTAACTAAGAAATTCAAGGAATTCTTAATTTTGATTACTCACGTTGACCTTCACGAATTTAAACAGGGGCATTAAAAAGCTGGGGATTCCCTGGCAAAAGAGCTGATCAAGGCAGCATTTGATATCAATCCCGATGCAAATTACGCTACTGGCCTTTCGTACAAAGACAAACTAACACAAACGCATTATTATATTCGTTTCGAGGGGATAATAAATTCCACAGACTTTGGTGCAAATGTTAAAATTACGAAATGCATAAACAGAGATACAAGTGCATTAAGCCCCTGGGTTTCAAGGAACATTTTCTCTATATTAATAGTTTTTAATTGTCAATTACTTAACTAAAATTACTTTTTGTATTATCGAACTCGAACATTTTTAATATTCATTTGTTGTTTTAATAAGGTGGTTTAAATTTTTTGCAGACTGTAAAATTGATTTAGCTTTCATAATTGATGACACGGACACAATCAGCGCATCAAAATTCCAAGAAATGAAAACTTTCCTCATAAGTCTTGTCACCAAAATAGTTGTCGGTGACGATGCAGTAAAAATAGGGGTTATAACTTACGGTGATGACGCGATCACCGTTTTCCCCCTAAAGCAGTACTCAACCGCCTCTGCAGTGAAAACTGCTATTAATGACATAACTCAGGGAAATGCAGCGTATGGCAGGGATCGCCGCTTGGTGGATAAAGCCCTTTTGTATACACTCTGGAACTTCTTTACCAAGGAGAACGGAGAGCGCGAGGACGCCAAGAATTTTTACGTTGTTTTAACATATGGCGGCTCCGACGGCATGCAGGTGGCAGATTATGGGGCAGCAATCCAGTATAATTCAATGGTCGAACTTTTCATCCTTGGTAATCTACAGTGTTCAAAATATAGATTTCAGATTCAATACATCAAAAACCATTCTTGTTACATTGATATCTTTCAAAGCCTCCAGTGTAATTATATATTTTTTTCAGGTGCTAATGTTACGTCTAGTTATGACTCCGATTTTGAGGGTGCAGTGACTGAAGGAAGGTACATGTCAGCCAGCAATTTCATAGAACTCCAGTGTAACAGCAAAGGTCTGGTCTCCAACATTACTGAGTGTCCAACAGAGGACCCTGTACCCCCCGCTACTCCTAGTAAGTCATGTATTTCCTTGTCCTTATTTTAATTTGTCTAGTAATCTTTCCTACAAATTTCTATGGCCAGATTTAACATATGGTATGAATTAATTTTAGAATAATTTTATCAGTTTTGACCCTGAGTACAGACTAAAGATGTAATGGTAGGATGGCGGGCAAGCGGATTGATAGACAGATTGTTCAAATATATGCTTATATTACTTTTGTTGGGACCCCAAAATTCGTAATTTTTTAAAAAGACATGGTCCACCCGTCCGTCATCCGTGACGTATTAGTTTTGTTCCATTCTGCCGTTTTAAGTGCTTTCTACGAATGACAGAAAATGTTTTTTGCAACATTCAAACTTATTTTAATTTTCTTACAGATTGCAAGCTAGATATATTGTTTTTGCTCGAAGCATCTAGTTCTTCTGCTGGTGCAAAGTTCATATACCTGAAAAGCTTCTTTGCTAACTTAGCGCGGCAAATCAGTGTCTCATCGGACACAGTCAGAATTGGTGTTGTCACATACGACTATAAAGGATACAGACAATTTGATCTTCAAACACATACGACCAGTGACGACGTTAGTAATGCCATAATGAAGATACCAGAAGGTTCGATATCCAAGAACCTACTAGATAAAGCTTTACTGTATGCAAGGACAACCTACTTCACAGAGGCCAACGGAGATCGCGCAGACGCGGCTAATTACTACGTCTTTTCGGTGGACGGAATAAGAGCTGGCTCTGCTATTCAAGGGGCTGTTATAAATGCTAACTGGCCTGATCAGGTCTTTGCTGTCGGTAAGTAAGAATTGTGGTCGCACCATGAAATGCCTTGGACATGTCCCTCATTGAACTTTTCTCTTGGCAAGTTTTCCATGAAATTTATTTTGATAAAATTTCTATTTCTGGTACGGCTGTTGTATTGAATACTTACAGTCCAGGCTCGAGTTTCATGTTGATTTTTTTTTTTTAACGAAAGTAATTACCCTTGGACTTTTCAATGCCCATTTTATCGGAGATTGTCAAGCTTTGTCTGTATATAATGAGTTAATTTGTGGTTGTCATGTAGGTTTTCAGTCATAGCCTTCCAGTAATAGTATACAATAGGTAACGTTCACATGCATTATTTAAACAAAACAAAAAAAAAAGTTGCAAAGTTAAGCGTCATTGCCTTTGAATTCTCTTTTTGGAAAAAATACTATTGTAAACTAACTAGATTTTTTTCCCTCGCAATTAAAGATATAAACAGTACCTATGAGGCGGAATACAGACAAGCCGCTGGGGACAACAGCCGTTATTTCTTTGCCCCCTCCTACCAGAACCTGTCCTCTATAGAAGCTGCCGTTTTAGAAGCTATTAGCAAGTGTCCTTCTCCACAAATCACGACCACTACTGGTGTCTCCCTTAGAAACCTAGACGTCGGTAAAGTTCTTTATTCATCACTATTGTTGTTTTATTTTAAAAAATCTTAATGGCATTCCAAGGCAACATAGCAGCTCTGTTTGTTTCCAAAATTCATAACAGAAAATATAAACTTAAATGAGGACAAATGTAATCCACAATTTTGGCTGAAAGACATGTTTTATGGAAGATTATTTCCATTTAAGAGACATTGATTAGGTCTATATGCATTTTAAAAATCTACAACTAAAAAGTAACATACATGTACTTGGATCATGTGATCTAGTGTTAGACAATCAGAGAGCGTGGAGAAGCAAAGATGAGTTAATTTAACAACAGTGATTGAGTTAGGTTACAAACCCCCCTTTGATGAAGAAAATATTGAAATATCATTTAATACCTTTTTAGCTGCCCCATGCCTGAACAGTTTGATTTATATGTACCCAAAGGATTTGACAGCACATACAGGGGGATCAAGAGGTTTTGTATAATTATCATCAATGTCTTTTTGCATATAAAATTTAAATTAAAAATGGAACCTGTCATTCAGGGAGGTAAGATGTATTTCTGGAGTCTAACGGATAGAGAAACCTAACTCTTTGGTTAATCGAAACTTTTTTAATGATAAATAACATATACACATTTTACTTTTTAATATGTTAACTCGTATCAAGTAGTTCACTACTGAATAACATAAAGGTAAGGACTTGACTTAAACAGCAATATTATTTTATATCAAGGAGGTAAAAGTATCGAATCTTTTCTCTGATTCTATAATGTTAAGCTTGGCTAGTATGGCAGCAGCTTCATCAGATTCATCAGATTTTGTTTTCATCATTAGGAATGATGTACCTGATGACAGATTATGTATTTATAATAACCACCTGCTCACGCATTACTTCGTGGGAGTTTTCGTATTCGAGGTCTGGATGGATAGATTTTATGGTGTGGAGACCTTCTGGAAATAACTATAAGCTTGTTGCTTACAACACAATTTACGTTGAAGGTATTTTCAATTTTGACTTGTTGACAGACGTCGTTTTCGTGGAATATTTAGATACACCCATTCATGTACACCAATTCTTCCCTAAATATTATCTTTTTAAGGTGTTAATTCAACGGTGTACACCGTTGTGGAATACGAAAGGATAGCTGTTCTTGAAAATGACGTCATCGGATGGTAAGAATTGTGGTCTTCAATGGTGAAGTTTCTCTCAGTAACCTGAGATTGTGAAATTGCTTTTCTTGGGCATTCGTAGTTTAAATATTCTGTAAATTTACAGAATATTTAAACTACGAATGCCCAAGAAAATGAATGTCATTTGAATTTCCACTCGTAAAGTATAAGCAATTTTTTCAATCGATTGGACCAGCTTCACTCTAACAGGAATATTAATGCTTATCATTAATGTTTCTTTTTTTAGCCGAACCTCTCTTAATTTTAATTACTCTGACTAAAGCGCATCAGTTAGTTAGAAGAAATCTAGTGTAATGGTCTATATCTACATAAGTATTGTCTTATTTTATTCAGTGGATTGTATACTGACTTTGGGGTTGTGGATCAGTATGAATAAGGTTATTTATTAAGGAGAAATTCTTCTCATATATCTTGTATCTAAAAATTAATTAAATTTCCATAGAATCAAGATGACAATATTACTAATGAAATATATCAAGATAACGAATAGTAATCAAGCTCAAAAGTCCATTAAACAATATAAAATAGAATCAAAGCAAATACAGACCTCTAAAACATCAGAGGTGGGATCAGATGATGGTATCAGATTAAATTTTTATATCAGAGAGAAGGTTAGGTAAAGGTCGTTACTTTTTCTCTGGACATTAAGAATAACTAAATACTGTTGCCAATCATGAGATGCCTACTTCTATTTCAAATATCAAAGGTTTTTCTTCTTGCATAAAAAGATATTACCTTAGAGAGTCTATAAGATGATATAACCAAACTGACACAAATAATTTACTTAAAAGGGATATTGGCTAATTCGAATTTAGTTATTTTAATATGCTTCCTATATTTATTTCTTCTTCTTATTTTTACATATGCTCAAGTTGTCATATAAAGATACAATATAGTAAAAAAGAAACAAAAAGTAAATATTGTTTACCCAAGGAGAAAAAACACTTTTTACTGATTTTTGGCTCAAATATGTACTTAGTTTGGCAGCTTTTAAAAGCTAGCATAAATGTAGTTTGCTATGAAAATCATATTTATTTGATATATTAATAATAGTATCAAGTTTTAAAATATTACGTACATTTGAAAATTACTTCGTCTTTGTGTTAAAATTATTACTAAAATCCTTTTTCTAATATAATTTTGAGAAGCATGGAGGGTATTTTCATAGGTCACCATTCCGCCAGAAATATAGTCCTTCCTAGATTTTCAAACTTGGTTTATCATTTCTATTCAAAGTTGTACAATTGTAATGTGGAAAGAAAAGAAAATTATCTTCTAAATCTCTTTAATGTAAATATATAGCAAATACTTCAAATATTTCATTTAGTCAGAAACCTGAGAAGAATCTCACCATAAGTCTTTTGGGCAATTGCATGTAGCACACAGTTTCAGTTACCTAAAATATACAACGGAAAATGGTTATGAATATCATAGGCCAATGATTCAGTCAATTATTTTCATTTTTCAAATTTTTATAATAAATAAGTCATTTGCGGAGATTTTTCATGTCAGTCTCATACTTTTGTCTCGGGATGGAGTGAAATCTTTAGCTTAAAAATTAAAAAAAAAATTTTACACATTCGTTCCATATCCAAGGCTTCACATTTGCGTGGCTTAGTCAGGCATTAAACATAGTTGTCATTTTGCATTTTTCTAGGCGCTCACTCGCTGACAACGATGGCGGTAATATCATCACAAATGGAGACTGCTTAGATGAGTGTGCTATTGGATACCAGGCTTACTCGGCCCAAACTTTACAGAGAGGGGACGTGTTTGATTGGAAAACGTCAGGAAACATAATAAATACAACAGCTTATGCTATTAAAGCTTGCCTTGAGGACAGTAAGAATATGTTAAATGCAGTTACTTCTTTTTTCCTGATCTGCATACAGTTTCCAAAGTTTAATATAATACCAATAAATTATTTCCTATTCACGATTTCTTTCAGCATTTTCAGCTGAAATAAGACTTTTATGCGTGTTATTTTTCCAAATAAATGACTTTTGATGTACTGCATTAAATATTGATAATTCATTATT